AGTCTCTATTAGAGACTCTAATCCCTAATAGTTAGATTAATCTAGCTCCTAGAATACCAATTTTTCTATATAAAATTGCTGACCTCAATCCAAAGGAGCTTGGAAGGTGTTTGCACTGGAAAAGCTAATCAAACATTTTCCTTGAGTAATGCTGTCAAGGAGCTGTTGCTCATCAATAACTAAAATGACTTGTAAAAGAGTAAATTGAAATGCAGAAGACCAAAGTGGAAACATTCCCTCTGCTATTAATTCAGTGTGCTGGTGCTCCAGCTGTGCATCAGCTGGAACATTGTCTGTTTCCTGTTTCTCACATCAGACTCTCGTGTCTCTGGAAGAGAATGAGAATTTCTACTTTGCGTGAGAAGGCAGAAGAATTTCTTCATTTACCACCTTAAGAAATAACAGAACACACCCACATTTTTGCTGTTTTTTACCTGCTTAAGGATTTAGGGGAGGGGGGGGGAAATCCCAACCAGCTACATCTGCTGTTCACAGAAAAATCCATAAAGCAATATTACATCTCAGCTCTTTCCTGACTCCTGCAATTTCTCCTAGCTGCTTCCTAAAAGTGCTGTTAGTGCAAAAATAACCAAAGAACTCTTAAGACTTACAGCAGCTTGTAGCATTGACATAACCTACAAGCTTGGATGAGTTGTATTTTATTAATATGTTGAGCTGGAGGCAGAGTCCACTCTCCTCTCAGAGATATTGTTGATCAGTGTAAAGTGCCACTTTCCAACCAGGAGCTGTTCTGAATAGTTTGTGTGTCACTGACAGCGGTTTCTCTGCCTACATAGACAAATGTCAAATAAAAATGTTACCGATGATGTTACTAGGCATGAAAGGCACTGAGAGAAACCTTTCCTATCTACTTCTCTGGGTTATCAAACTTTTTTTTCAAACAAGAGCCTGGGGACAGAAGATGTGGAATTGGTTGAATATCTAGAATTATTCTTGTATATTTTTTTTCCATTTCTTTTATACCTCTTCTTGATGTTAAACTAAAGTTAGAGTTCTCTGCATGACCACATTTTTCCAATCCAAAATAAGAAAGGCCGCATATACACCTTCTGGAAAATAATAATTTACGTGATGGCTCTCCTGCATTTTTCATGTGAGGTCTGCAGGTAAGTTCTTGAAAGATGGTGCTTGTCTAAACTATGGAGGACCTTCTCATTTCAGCTAAAAATGCAGCTGTGTCATGGAGATGCAAAAATACTTTATCCATACACTATTATTGCTGTATTAAAGAGGAATTAAGCTGCAAAATACCTAATAGGAGTTTAAGATTAATAGCATATAGCCCCTATCTTACAGAGCTATTTTAGTTACGCTGCAGTGCAGTCACAGCCATACAGTTATGATTAAGTGGGTTTTAAGTGTTTAAAGACCTAAACCAGTTGGATCTAATTTTAATTACTCAGATTTACCTGCCTTCCCATAACGTTGTAACAATTCTGCATTGAGCACATTTTCCTAGGTTTTCCACATTTTTCTTAATTTCCATAGTAAACAGGATTTTTGTTACATTTTTAGACAATTCATTATGTACTTAAAATGTGATCACTTGGGATTTTTCCACAAGATAGAATAGATGTTTTACTTTAAGTGAGAATCTAAGTGTTCAGTTGACAAAGGAATTAAAGCCAGTGAGTTATAAATTATAGTCTCTTATTTCTAAGCACAGTTCATGTGAGATCAATGCACCAATAAAGTCCTTCCCTGGAATTTCAGCGGGGCAGAAACTGCTAGCCAAAGCTTAGAGCCCCAAAACACAGGTTAGTACTGATGCAAAGCACCATGAGGTGCCTTTGCTACGGAATGTGTGTTCCCCTGAAGTCCTAGGGTGTTGGGGTTCATGTGTTCCTTCCTTCCATCCTTCCTGGGATGTTTCTTTACGTGGCTGTAAAGTTTTATTTGAAAAGGAAAAGAAAATTCCAAACATAAGGTCATATTAGGTAACGGTATGTTGATAAGTATAGTCATCTAGCTATCTTGTGACTGTAGATTTCAGGCTGTGGTTTTATTTTATCTCAGGTTCTCAGAATGTGCGCACATTAGAGCTAGGCCGCAGTTGCAACCTGGAGTCTGTTTGGCCAAGCAGGTATCTAAATGCTGTCTCCCGTTGCCAGCGTCTTTCAACCCGGCTGAAGTTCAGTGAGGGGGTGGTTCTAAAAGGCCTAATTTTTCCCTGAACATTCACTGACACGGTGAACAGGAAAAAATTTCCACTGTGGGTCTTCACTGCAGGGCTAGGGGCTTATCCTTTAGATTAGCTGCTCAGTCAACTCCTTGTATTTGCACATACAAGACAGGAACCGTGAGGGCAGTTTGAAAGTGGAGGAAATGGATCTTTTCTTACAGCAACTAATGACAATGCTAATCAGGTCACTAATTAGCTGGATAAACGTTCCTGCCATCAACACTACTCTAAAAAAGAAAGGGATACCCTAATGTAATGTGTACCTTTATAATACTTTTTATATTTAAATACACTTAATGGCACGGGTGTTCAGGACTTTACCATAACATGTACTTTTTTTTATTTGCTGTCTGCGGTAACTGATGATTTCAAATCAGAATTAGAAGTGTCATCCTTCTTGACAGCATGAATGTGATCCAAAATCTCATATAGTGATAGTTCTTGATCAAAACAGTGACTGAATCAGACTAAAGTGTTCGGTACAGAGATGTTACAAGAGCAAGAATCTGCATTATACGTGTCACTGGAAAAGACCTATTCTTCAGGATCTGCACAGGACTAATTCATTTTGTTGAAGTATGGAGTCTGTATAAAGAGTCTGGTTTGAAAATTTCTCTTACAGCTTTTTTCTACCAGAGCAATACTTAGGAGTTTATACATTAATTAAAAACTGTTCTTCCTAAATTAACTATTCAATGATTGTATAGCACTGAGTGGTTTTTGTCTTGTTTTTCTTGTTCTTCATCTTGAGATGATGTTTATGTGAAGACCTGATTTTCTTGTGTGTAATTAACTGTTAGAGAAAAATCAGTGTTCAGAGGTGGAGCTCTCCATAGATGGTCATCATTTTAGATGTGCTTTCCGAGTACTAGGTTTTTGCAATTTAATGACTCTTAGACAACTGTAATCTGTTCTTGCATGTGTGTCACAGAGTGATTCCCAAAAGCTTTCTAATGATATAAATTGCCTGGGTTATCCCAGTCCCTAAAAGCATATGGGGTCCTGCTGCTGTACAGAATAATGATTTATCAGCTGGATGGAAGACTTTTTCCTCATCTTCTGTCCCTGGTCATAAGACAAGGACGTTCCTAGTTGCTCTAGGGAGAAATACGCACCTTCTCCTCCCCTCATTTAAAAACCAATGGTTCATTTTTATATCTATAAATTCTGTGTAGTGCTGCTGCAGATTCTGAAGTTTGGTAACGATGCTGAAGATGGCTGCTCAGGTCTCGTGCAGAGCCAGGGACTCAGCCAGATGGTTCTCACGTTGTGCTTCTCTGTGTCTGAGTTGTGGGTGTTTGCAACATAACCTCTCCTACCCAGCTGGCTCCTCCAGGCTTCGAGCTGCAGCTGGTTGTGCACCCGTGCGATCTGCTGGAGAGCCCTGTCTGGCAGCAGACCTAGGGAAGGCAGAAAGGTCAAAGCTCTGCGCTGTAACGTGGGATGTGCCGGCAAGCAGAGCTCTTCTGATATTTGACTCTGTGAATGCACTGTGTGACGCCACGTAAGGATAGCACAGAACGGAGATCTGGTAAATGTGCTTACCAAAAATCAGATTGTTTCACAATGGGCAGTGATCCAGCAAGTACTAGCACGATTTCTTTGGAAGGTCTTTGATTTGAAGGCTCGATTTCTCTTAAACAACCACTGATGGCTGCTATGATAGCAACAGATCCGTGCGAAGGACTCCAAGTACTTCGTGGAAGGAAAAAAGACTTTCTGAAGATTGTATATGGCCACATGTGCAGCTGGCTTTATGAATGAGTGCATAAACTAGGTCTAGAGAAAATCCAGTGTTCTGGATTCCAGCTGATGAATGACTCCAGTTTTTTCAACATGGCTCCAACAGAACTTCATCTTGGGACCATAACCTCTTCCTTACAGATAACCCCCATAATTCATGGTAAACAGCACTGTGATGTCTTGAGAGGGAGAGGAGAGGCTCATCTCACTGTTGCACAAATTGGATTATTTTTTTTTCCCCTTCCCTTCTCATATTTGCTGCTTATTTGGGCCATTTCTCAAAGAAGTACTCAATACAAAATAGAAAAGATAAAAATTACCCTTGTGCAGTGTATCTGAAAGCAGACAAACTTATGGGAAGAACTTTGCAACTGGTTTAAAATACTCAGTTTAAAATAGAAAAAAATGTTTGCCAGTGTAAGTTCTAAGTAGAGAAGCATTAATTTTGAATATTTAGTCTTATTTCATGATAACACAGTAAAAAAAGCATAGTTTCATCTTGTAATCTTGAAGACTTTGATTCATTTTCTCTGATCAGTTGAGAAAAGTCCCTAAGTATTCCAGCCAGATTTTTCCTCAAAAAAGTAAGTACATTTTGTGTTTATAAGAGATACCAAAAGCAATGCTGCTTGAAATATTTAAATGGCCTAAAAGTGTAAATCATATCTATATGAAAAACTTGAAGTTTAGGAACCTAAATGGTGTAGTCAGCATGAGATTTCCCTCCCCTGCTGTGGTGAGACAACAGGGAAGAGGGAGAGCAGTTCAGTCTTCACACTCCTTTAATCCTCTCCTGAAAGTAGGATCATGACTTTTTTCTGCTGGGAAATAGACTGAGACCACAAGCTCATTCCATTTCATATAAATCACCAAATTATTAAATAGTAACAACTTTTTGTCTCTCTAATGGGAATTTGCTTTCAGGCAACATCTTAGCGCTGCGAAGTATCATATTCCCTTACCAGTATTTTATTTTCCCCTTGATTTGATGCAAGTTTGGTGTAGAAACAGTCAGCAGCAAACATGCTTTCTTTTCTTTGTCAACTTCCTGTAGGAGTTCTTCATATTTTCTGCAGCGTTGGGAGAAAAATGTGAAGCAATAAGTGAGAAATTGGTGCATCTGGAAGATCAACTGCAGACTTCCTCCTGCAGAGTTGATGAAGGAGTTATTCATATCCTTTTTGATATAGCTACAGACATGTATCAACCTGTGTAAGTATGTATGTGAAATACTTGCCTTTCAAATTCACATAGAGTACTAGTTCTTAATGTAGATTAAATACAAAGAAGGGGAGAATTGATTGTCTTGCTAAAGTGGGTGTTTTTGTTGTAGCAAGTTTTCTTACAGTGCATTTTCACTGTGGTCTGATCCAACTTTAATTGATTTACACAGAAGTTAGTTCCTTGTGAATTAAGAATAGACACTGAAAAGCCTTCATTTTACTGTTAAAATCCTTTTGTTTGTAATGCTCATATAAGTAAATACCTAGTGCACCAAAAGCTGCACGGATACAAGCGTCCACGCACCTGCATTTCCCAACATGATTTAGTTAAATTAAATGCTACATCACCGACACAGACTGTGTATATTGCCACATGTAGTTTGGCTTTTTTTCCTTTTTGAAAAAATTGGCAGCAGATGCATCATGTGGTGTCCTATGCAATTCAATCTGCTGCTAACACTCCAGTGTAAGTAACCAAATGAAATGTTGTCTTATAAAGCACCCTTATCTCTTTCTGTGCTTTATCTGTCATTCAGTGTCTGATTGAAGATTGCTTAACCTTTATGTGGCATGTGTTTGGCCTACATTTTTCAAAATTTAAGAGCCCAGAGTATTGTTTCATTTGTAACTTTCATAGAAAAACTTACCACAAAAGAGATTTTGTTCTTCTAAGAAAGGGAAAAGAGAATAAGAACCAGTGAGGCTCAAGAAGATGAGAACAATTATTTAGTGGAGAAGAGGTGGCAGGCAACGGCATAATGAAGAAAGATGAATAAGTTCAGGTTGGAGAGATTCACAGAGAAGCCCTTACAGACACCTGAAGGTGAGTTAAGATGATGATGGTGCTAGGAAGGATTCAGTTTCTCCTAAGCTGAGGCAGGTAGTCCTGCAGGAGAGAGTTTAGAGAAAGGATAATAAACAGAGTGGAAGTACCACTGTGTTTTAGGTAATTGGGCCCCTATTGCCAGCTCATTGCAAAATTCCTATTCTAGAAATTTGGTTTCTATAAAGGTGTCAGAATGATAAACTTTGGCGATTGGAGGGGTGTTGGAAGATGCTGGAGGGCTTTGCATTGGAGGGGGGAAATCCAGTCACTAATTTGTTACTACTTCAAATCTTTCTTTTCTAAGTGTTTCAATGAACAGAAAAATTATTTTCGTATGTATACCACAGGCCAGTTTGTAATATTATTTTCATTATATTTACAGTGTGTGCACTAAGTTGCAGTTGTGTTTCCCCAGTGCTGTTTGTGAGCATTCTTTTCAGAACAATATGGATGTGTGCAGAGCACCTACTTCCTTTTTCTCTTACTTATGTTTGCTCTCAAATGAGAGATTTTTCTCATTGACCCTAATAGTGAACACTGAGGACTGGAGTTAAGTGTTCTTTGCAGTGGACTTAAGTTCATATTCAAACCAAAAAATCAGGTCTGTTCATAATTACAGTTTGCTAAGTAAGGTGAAATAAGCTGAAAAACTGCTTTTTTGATTCCTGATGAAAATACACTACAAGTATGTAAAAGTAGTAGTATTTATATTTTCTATGGACCATGCATGTTTCTTTGTAGCTGTTGAAACTGCAGGAGTTAGTTGAAAAAATAAGATCTAATCACTGGATTTTGAGAAGAGTTGTAGATTAGTCTCGTTCTTAGCTACAGTTATATAGAAATAGATCTGATTTCCTCTATCAGTGAAATTTAGCTCACATTATCTAAACACAGAAGTGCACACTGTGTGATATCCTGGTCCTCCTAGCAAGACCATCAGCCAGAGAATAAGAAACCATGTTTAAAACATAGGGACATACAGAGAAGCAGTGCAGCAATTCAACTACCCCTCATTAACATTCAGTTGCTATTTCAGAGGTAGTCCAGATCAATGTGCATAAAATGGTACCATCTGGTACATGTAATCGCTGTGCTACACTTCAAAAAGAAATGAGAAAAATAGCTACCACAGTGGTACAGACCTGTAAATTGTTTTTTTAAATAAAAACTGCTCGGTGCCTATAAAATAAACTTTCACCCATTGATAACTTGCCTATATTGCAGGAACTAGCACTGAGATTGCTACCAATAATTAGCCCCAGTAGAAGAATTTATGGTTAATACATGGATATGTTTTTTGCACGATAATTTATTTGGTTTTAAATGAAATAAGTTCTTATCCCAAATATTGGAAAATTATCCAGTCTTCATTAAAAATCTGTAGAACTCTGAAAAAAAGGAGCTTAAAGATCTGGAATCATAATCAAACCTGGGTAAGTTATTCAAGCTCTTTTCACTGGTTATTTTCACCCTTCCCTTCATGCCCCCCAAAATTGCATTACACATGAATGTTACAAACTGTATTAGGTGAAAAATCTGAATGGGGGCTGCACAGATGTAGATTAGTCCTGTCGTCTGATTATTAAAAGACTTTTAAAGACTCCACTGAGAAAAATAAATTCCTGATGCTCTTGAGCCATTTGCCAATGTTTAGTGTGTGTCATAGCTTTGATTAATAATTAAGTTTGTATTAGAAGAAAAATCCCAGATGTCATTGTTTTTCATTCTGTTTTGATGGCATGGAACACTTAAATCAACTGTGCTATTCACAATTGCCAGCACGACCTGAACAAAGGAGAAATCCACAGATATTTTTTGGTCCTTAGCATAGACACAGACCTGCTTGGGATTCTCATTTATTATTGAAGCCTTTCACAGCAAATACTAAACTGTAGTTTTGTATAAAAAGCATCAAACAATAGTGGGGGAGAGGAGGGGAAGAGCTTTTCTGTAACAGTGTGACATATTTGCTAAATTCTATGTAGTATAACCAAATAAACCCACAAAACATTCAATTACGGTAAATCATTAGTGAGTGTATGAAAACAGTCCACATCATTAATTGGAAAAACCAAAGGACAAGAGGTGACTCATTCTGATGTCTACAGAGCTGATGAGAGGTGTTACTTTCCTGACAGTAAAGGCCTGGAATTCCCAGTAAAATTAAATGGAGCCTATATTGCAATTTCACAGTTATTTTTGTTCTTAATTAGCAGTTACATTTTGATAGACAATTTGAATGCATGTAATAGTTCCTCCTGGTGAAAACGCTTTTGTTGGAAGAAAACCTGGCTGGACTATTATTATAAAAGCAATCTTCATTCCTTGCCCTAAAATGGGCATTTTAACTGGTTGTTTTGAAAATAGAATTTTGTGTCTAAACGTTCATTAGGCACTGTGAGTCACTTGGCTAACCCTTCACCTTATCATACAGCAGGCTGTCATACAGGCCTTGCTTTACCCCAGTGCAGGTTTTTGACAGACTCAGGAGTGTAGAATTCAGCCCCTGAAGGTCCCTCACTGAGCAATCTCACCCTGGGTAAACTTGTAAGAAATTTTGGGATCCCAGAAGAGTGAGATGTGGCAATGATGCCCTCTTTGATTTTATTTTGGATGACAGGGGGTGAGCCCTTCCCAATATGCGTCATATTAAGAGGATGTGGTTCCACTTGTATTGTCTGTGCTGCGATGGAGGTAGGTCAGTGTATTTCCATCCATGTGCTGCAGCTTCTTTGCTTTCTGTTTTCTGATGGAACAAGTGATTTGGAGACAGCTGACCTCCAGACCACTGAAGTGACCCTTTTTGCAAAATGTTGCAGTCTTTCCGTTGGTTTGGTTTTTTGTTGGGTTTTTTTTTTTTTTCTGTATAGTAGTTTGGGGGGGAGTGTTTTGGTTTTTATGTCTGATACTATGTTATTTTGCAGAAACACATTTGTGGATGTGAAGGAGGGAGACAGCAATGGAGGAGGGAAATGGGAAATTCTTAATCTGGTTTCAGTACCACAAGCATCCCTGCATTTTCTAAGGAGATGTAAGTGATTTTCCAAAGGCCATTTTTCTCTCTTGCTGTGACAATACACAGGCTTCATATAGGATCAGTAGGGACTTTCTTGGTGTCTTTGCTTCATTCACAAGAGTGCACTTCTAAAAGGCTGAAACCCAGGTCATTCCAAATGAACACTGAACTGTCTTGCCTCTTCGCTGGTCCTTTGGCACTTAGCACACCCAATCCCAGAATTGTCTAGTTGGAGGTGACCTCTTGAGATCATCTGATCCAACCTCCTGCTCAAGCAGGGTCACCTAGGATCACATCCATTCAAGTTTTGATTATCTCCATGGATATCTCCATAAAGTCTCCATGCATCATGTTCCAGTGTTTGACCACCCTCACAGTAAAAAAACTGGTTTTTTGTATTCAGATTCAATTTCCTATTTTGGAATTTTTGCCTTAGTGGACACTAAGTGAGAAAAGTCTGGCTCCTGCTTGTCCATTCCCACCCTTCAGCCATTTATATACATTGATAAGATCCCCTTGAGCCTTCTCTTCCCCAGGTTGAACAGTCTCAGTGCTCTCAGCATCTCCTCATGTGACAAATGCTCCAGTCCATTAAAGCCACTCTGTGCTGGACTTGGTCCAATAAGCCTTTTTTGTACTGTGGAGCCCAGAATCCGGCCCTGTGCTCCAGGTGGGACCTCATAAGTGCTAAGCAGAGTGGAAGGATCAGATCCCTCCACCTGCTGGCAGTGCTTTTCATAATCCAGCCCAGGAGGCTGTTGGTCACCTTTGCCATAAGACACGTTGCTGGCTCACGTTCAGCTTGCTGTCCACCACGACCTCAAGGTCCTTCTCTGCAGAGTTACTTTCCAGCTGGCTGTCCTCCCTGGGTGTGTTCTGGTGCCTGGTGTTAGGAAAGACATGTGTATTACATACTGGGATGTCCACCTGAGCTTCTGTCTCCATCCACTGTAATATTCAGCTGTTAGAAACAACCAGAAGAGTTAAACAGGCTAAAAAAATCTCTCTCTCTGATTATTTCTGTCTTCAAGTCTTAATTTCCCCTTCAGATATCCAAAATTGCTGTTATTCTCCAAAATCCTATTGGCCCTTACCTAAGCCCTGTGGTAGTGCTTGACTGTTCTTTTAAGACCTTTTGTCTTACAATATACTCCTAGTTTTTAATCTTTCCTATAAGTAGGCAACTGGTTTGTATTATTTACGGTTTTTCTCTTTTTTTTCCATAAACCTCTGCACTGAGAGAACATAAGATACATCGATGAGCCCATTTTTTAAAAAAATTAAGTAAGTCTACGGAAGTTAGTTCTGCTTTTTATCTCCTTGTAAATCGTGGACTCTGTTATGATGCTCAAATGTGTTAAAGAGAGCAAGTCAAATGGGTGAAAGGCTTCAACTGAGACAATGTCAGAGCTGCAGCAACGTTGCAGGATACAGACTGTGGTTTTGTGAAGCTGTTCCCAAATACCTTAATTTAATGCTTATGACACATTGGAGAAATTTTGCCAGTTTTTCACAGGAAGACAGCAGGAGCAAAAAATGTTCCTAGTTGAAATTTGATTTCGTATATGGCTTTGATACTGGCTCAATATTTGCAACGCTGGGTAGAGAATTTAAGCGTGAAGGACACATTTGCCTGTGGACCCATGCAAAACTTAGGTTTTTTCACTCTTAAAATGGGTGAAGCTGTTTATCCAGACATAACATCTGTATATGAATAGAGATTCCATGCTCAGCCCTGTAACATATATTTTACCAAGCCATAGAGGCTCATTTGACAGTTACTGGTCTACAGCTGGTTGTGGTATTATTTCTGAGTTTATTGAGACTTGCTGTAGGTAGACTATGCAGTCATCCTTCGTGTTGCTCCATCTTGTTGCTTAAGAGTTTCTTGCCCTTTCTCCTTTGTTTTCCTCTCTCCTTCAAGATTTCTGATCCACTGGCAGGGAAACATTTCAATTTTGTTTTTTTCTCTATCTGAAAAGAATTTTGTAATCACTTGGGATATTACAAATAACAGCATGTAGTCAGAGACTGCATGTAGAAGTAATTAAATTTCAGAGGCTTCACGGTGTTCATAAACTGAAGAATTTCTCTTTTACCAGTTAGGTTTTCAGCAGAGCATCATGATTAAATTGCAGAGTGGTGGACAGTACAGGACTGCTTATAAGAGGATAATAATGTTTCTTACTTCAGAGAAGATGCAAAGCATAATTAATTTGTCCTTCTACAGTGCTTTGAGATCCTAGGATTGGAGAGGTTTTGCATGTGCTGCCATTACTTGTAATCAGAGACAGAGTCCCTTTAGATTAATAGAGCTGTCCGGAAATTAGAAGTGTGTGTGAACACCCCTGGTTGAATGCATTAAGAGTAAAACATCATAGTAAATGTATGTAAATATATAAAGATGAAATTTTGAGGAACAGATAACAGAATGGAAAGCAGCCAAAAAGCTTTTCAAAGGAATAACTGTGGCTGTGTGAAATAGCAGTGATTTGTATAGCTTTCCCGTCGTCCTCTCGCAGTCTCATTTTTTGAAAGTAGTACCTCACTTTTTACAGTCACATAACCTGAGGGTCTTTTTTTCTTGACATTGCATTGACCTCAGGGTCAAGTAAAACAACATTTCATAATGGATGAGCTCTGTAAAGGATAAAGCCTGTCCTTGTGCGTTATCCTTCCTGGGCATTGTACTTTTGAAATTGAGTGGTTTTGGTGTCAGGCTGCTTCATTTCCCTTAAAATGAGTTTCTGTGTGTCTCAGAGATCATTTGACCACTTAGTGCTAGAGATGAACTTACTTCTCTCTCCCTTGACCTGCTTGGGTTAGCTTTTTGGGGTCCTTGACCTCCAGCCATATCTGTACAGAGGCCTCAGTGAGAATGGGGTGGGCCCTAAGGCTTGTTCACATTGACATGGTTGTTGGTTTAGAGCTTCAGCAGGCTCTGACATGGCTCACGCTTGCTTTGCTCTGCATGTGGTGTAAGCTATGGAAGAGAAGATGAGGTTGGTTGTTTCACTGAGCTACACCCAATCCTTGCACTTGATCCAGCAGTGGATAGTATCACTGACATAAGATTATCAGCAGAAAGGCTGATGTATTGATGGTACAAACTGTGCTTATTCCCAGGAGAGACTAGTCATCAGAACAAAAAGCTCTGCTGCCTAGGAAGCTTAGACACTTAAAAACTTCTGCATGTCTCAGCAGTTAGGACTATCTCCATGCAAGTCCTACCTTCATCTGCCAGTCTGCTCACTGCTGCAGCCCCTCATCTTCTTGTTGCCACCACCTGACACCTTCCCTCTCTTATTTTTGGAGCTGGAGAAAAGAGAGTAGGTGAAAGTCTTTTAAGAGACGGAGCCATTAGCCATCATTTCTTCCTGAGTGCCTTGCAGGAAACTTGAACTAGACAATGGCAAATAAAATGTGGAAAATTCTCCTTTCTTAATGAAATAAGTATTTTTACTGAATTATCAGGTGCTTTTCACTTGCCCCTTTTCCTTTTAATGCACAGCAGTGTGACCTTGCTGCTGCTAATCTCTTTGCTTTTCAACTTGTTCAAAGCATTCGCTATGAAGCCTGGTATTACTTTATATTTGTTTTCTGCGCTATAATTATACTGATAATTCAGCTAAGATTAAAGCCTTCTGGTGGTAAGTAGAACTGAAACACTTTCTCTTCTTTGAGTTAATTTTGCTGCTTACCCAGATTCCCACCCTGCCTTGCATAGCACATGGTGCTGAGCTCGCCAATGCCACACAAGCTGTGGTCACTTGGTTTGTCTGAGACTGCTTCCAGACCCCTGTTGTCTTCACCAGGGGTCTCATCCATCCTGGTCTGCATCTCTGGCTTGAAAATTCCACCCTCCATCCAGCAGGGAACTCGTGGCTAGTGTTGCTGCCTCCATGGTGCCATTTCTTCATCTCCTTCCTTCCCATGAGAACAGCACCAAAGCAGTATCCCCCATCCCCTCCCTTTTTTAAAGTGCTAAATAATGCCACTTGAGAACTTCAGTTTGCCTGGATTTTTTTTTTTTTTAAGCAAGTGTGAGAAATGTATTAATATTTAATCCAAATAATTTGGAAGAACTTGAAGCTACAATTAGATAGCCATGGCCATCTGTTGTGAGCAGCAGAACAAGAATTTATTTAATAACTTGGAAAGAGAAAAGGGACTGCCAATCACCTATAGATTTATTCCTTAATAAAGCTTGCACAGTCTCTGCAGAGGGAGATCCAGGTGGTGAAGGAGACACTCCAGACCGTGCTGGTGCAACTTCAGCCAGCCAGGGAGGCAGAAGAAGAAAAGGCTGGAGACTTCCTCTGTGACAGCTGGTGTCCAGGAAAACAAGACTTGAAGGAATAATGAGCAGAAAGAGCTGGTAAGATGACATTAATTCACAAAGGGCTGCTTTTAGTAACTGAATACTGTTTTACCAAGCCTCAGGGATCTTTTCTCTCCCTGCATAACTAATAACTAAATCAATTATGGAGAAACAGAGCCTGGAGGTCTATCATCAGAAGAATTCTACACAGCCTCATACGTTTTGGCACAGATTGGGAAACAGCTTTCAGAGCAGAGCATCCCCTGTAAATGTGTAGATTACAAATTGATACATTTCAAGTGAGTCTGCAAAGTTGCCTTTAATGTCAGTGAAATGTTCGCCTTGAAGACTCGTAAACAGTATCTGTCTTCCTTACTCATGCATTTTTTTTTCCTGATTTAAAAATGTAGTGTTAAAGCTGGAACATCTAGTATTTCTTGAAAAATAGCTGTAAGAATAATAAGAACTTTCTTTTTCTTTTGGCTTAAACAGCTTTCTTACACTGAATGTATTTTCACATTCCTGCTAATAATTAAATCAATAGGATGAAATTCAAGCTAACCAAGTTCTTTCAACTGAAATTTGGACCTCATTTACTCAGTGGTGTTGAGTACAATGGAGGTAACTAACAGCAGCCCCTATAGGAGTAGTCTAACCCTTTCATTTAGGCATTAATATAAACTTGCTTTAGTATTACAGGGGCTGTAACACAAAAAAACTACTATGTTGGTGGTGTGTGTTCCTTATATTTAAATATTGTATGAACAAAGTCATTTAAATCTCCTTGTAAAGTTTATTACTATTATTATATTACTTTGATCTTCCTTATAAACTTCAGAACAAATGCAGATTTTATTGCAATAGACACATGTATATATACACACGCACATACTTAAACATGTATTTTTATAGGAAATAAAAGCAATGTTCAACTGTTTAACTAATATAAATTACCTGTATTTAGATAGTTGTTCTAAACTAAATGCTTTTAGGAATTCATTGGGTACTCTTACTCGGATATCAGGATATCTCTGATGTCACAAAAAAATCTGCTTCTGCCATTTGTTGCAGAGGAAGAATTTAAAAAAAGAAAATCTGATTTTTTTTAAGCCAGTAGGTGAAGCAACTCAGTACTGTACTTTTCAATACTATTTTTCTGACATTTTTAGAATTACTTTGTTTCTGCTGTTTCAGTTGCTCGTTTTATAGCCACATTGTGAAGGTTTTTCAAATTTTGAAGGTCATTGTACTACTAGCCCACTAAGATTGTGTTCATTTTCTTTGTGTGTTTTAATACTAGTTGAAACTTCTACCTCAATGTTAAGAACATAGGGAGGGAGGGGGAAAAAAGTGCCAGGCAGCTGAAACAGACAACTAGATAATTGCATCCAGGAGTATGTGGTTGTCAAACCAGGGGAGCAGAGCTCAGGTGGTTTCTGTGGTCATCAGATGCTCAGAGTGGAATTACAACCCTGTAATTCAGAACATGGTTGAATTTTCTTATTGTATGATATATGGGTCAGGATCTGTGTTGCGGTAAAGACTCTTGGATCTTTACCTTGCATGGACACTGCTACTCAGTTCCCAGCCCCAGACTCAAAGGAAATATCTTGCTGCTCTGCTCCTGCCCTGTTTGACAAGTTTCTTTCTCCTGGCTTTGCTGGACAGTCCTTGTTCAATACCTACCTCCGCATAGTAGATTTGGCACTTTCTGGAGCTCCCTGAGATGGATGCTCAAGGCATTCAGTCCCAGCTCTAGTGCAGGCAGCAGCCTGTGGCACTGACATTTGGCCCATGCACAGGACCAGCTCCCCTGGAAGACCCTGGCTGGGCACACATCACCTGGCTGCCATCACCTGGCTGCCTGGGGACAGCTGTCAGCCAGAAAGCACTCATGGAAACCCACATGTGTTCAGGTAAACAGAAAAGAGAGCACACTGACATGACAGATCTCTCTTGCAGCTGTTTCCTTAAGACCAGCAGAAGCTGCTCGTGGGTTAACACCGCAGAGGGGCCAGGTACTGAGTTTACAGCAAGAACATTGACAAGGAGGACAACCAAAATGATGATGGCCAGTACAGTAAGGTTTCATGACCCCCTTCCACACACTGAAGCGTGTGTGGAGTTCTGTCTTCTGAATAGGTAGTGCCTGTAATATAAATAGTTGGTGGGCACTGCGTGTGCCATAGAGCCACAGCTGAAGCCTGAAGGCTTCCTCATTGCATCAGCAAGGGCTTAGAAACAGGGACAGTAACCAACCATCACAGGGGCAGGAGAGCAGCACCCTCCTTCTCTCACTAGCAAGATTTCTTGAACAGATTCCCATTCAATTATAGAAACTGTGTGGCTTTTGTGTTTCACAGCTTCAGAGCACTGCTGCATTTTAATAAAAACTCAACTTCAGTAACCACTCTAATAAAGACACTGAACTCCTGAGGAGAAGGGAAACTGAATCAGTCATAATTCATGTCTTATTTGTATCTGTTAACATATATTTTATACATAATGTGGACTACTACTACTTTAATTTATTATTCCATTAACTTCACTGTTTGTTGTGGGAAGTTAGAGCCAGTAATCATTCCTTTTCTCAGATGTGCTGAATAATAAGCACACTGGAAAGTAAAAAAAAAAAAGGTATACTATGCAATGTATCAGCTGTCTTTTATCTGTGGATAGAAAACGTTCAAATAAAGAGAAGTATGTTTTTAACTAGCTCAATGTCTGTTTGCATTCTGTGCAGTGTACAAGATTTTATAAATTTCATCCTGGGGCAGGGGGATGGATGGGGAGGGGAGGAGAGGAAAGGAGAAACCATGTGTTTCACTATTACTCTGCTGTTGACAGCAGTGATTCCTCTGCTTGGGAAATTCTGTGATGCCTTCTGGAAACAGTCTAAAGACACATTCAAGACTGGAGTCTCACAGCAAAATGTAGCTATTTTCAGTGTGAAAGGGAGAGAAATATCATGCAGTGATCTACACAGACAGGTAAAACTTACACTTGAGTCCTAGCTTGACTCAGCCAGTCTTGCTGAGCAACCAAATCCTTCCTGCCTACCCTCCCTCAGTTCCTCACCAGTGTAGAAGGGTCAATGGAAGTTAACTATAACTGCACACTGGCTCCAGCAATATCTGAGGTCAAATCATGCTCTCAGATACCCTCATTGCCACAATGAGAGGTAGGAGAGTGTCTGTGGTGGCCCAAAACACAGTTTCACACATGCTTGCTACCACTCTGTTACCTCCAGGTGGACTGGTCTCCCACCACCTGCAAACAATGATTCTCAGCAGAAATAAGCCCCTTTCCTGTCCAAGACGTGCTCTCCCTATCGAAGACCAGAGCCCTGAAACGTTTGAAGAGTACATAGAGGCATATAAGCTTTGTGTGCAGAAACCTCTGCCACAGCAGTGGAATTACAGAATCATTTAGGTTGGAAAAGACTTTTAAGAGCATCGAGTCAAACCATTAACCTAGCACTGCAAAGTCCACTGCTAAAACTATGTCCCTAAGCACCATATCTACATATCTTTTAAATACCTCCATGGATGGTGACTCAACCACTTCCCTGGGCAGTCTGTTCCAGTACTTGATAATGCTTTACGTGAAGAAATTTCCACTAATATCCAGTTTAAACCTCCCCTGGTGCAACTTGAGGCCATTTCCTCTTATCCTATGACCTGTTATTTGGGAAAACAGAACAACCCCCATCTCACTACAACCTCCTCTCAGGTAGCTGTAGAAAGCAATAAGGTCTCCCATCAACCTCCTTTTCTTCAGGCTAAACCAGAGTTCCCTCAGCCATTCTTCATAAGACTTGTGGTCCAAACCCCTCACCAGCTTCATTGCTTTTCCAAAGCACAAGCCATGGGCTGCTGGAGGAGAGCTGCAAGATGAGGAAGCAGCTCACCTCAAGCAGTCCATTGCATGTGTTTTGGAGGATGAGCAGTTGGTTGTGTTTAATACACGCATACATACCCCAGTGCACAAACATATTCTCAAGGCACTAAAGAAGAAAGGGAGGAGGGAAAAACACCCCAAAGGGTATTTAGCTCTAGCCTAATATTTCTCTTTCACAATCAATTAGCTAATCCATTCTTTCTAAAGTGTGACAGCTCAGGCTTTTGCTTTTGCTATCATTACTTGTCAAATCAAGATAAGCACATTTTTTCTAGAGCACTGGAGAAGGCAGTTCAATAATGGGTCCCAGATAGGCAGTAGTGCTGGAGAGAGCTCCAGGGCAAGATTAGAATAATCCTCATGTATCCTCTTAGTTTCCTATCCTATTAAAAATGAGACTGAGACCAAGAGCTTTTTTTTTTTTTAGTCTCAGGGATTAATGTGCTATAAAGCAGCTCTAAAATATTATGTACATGTGGATATTTTTCTGCACTGTTAAGGAAGATAATACAAGTTTCTAGAGAGATATTAAAGAAAAAGAAAAGAGGGCCTATGAATACAGAAGATTCTTTCTGAACCTGAAAAGCAGCCAAGCCAGCAGCCACAGTAAAGCATTTCTTTCAAATTTCTAATGAAGGCTTGAATACGAGGCCTGGGAAAAGAACATCTGGGGTTGAGTGAGTAAGGAAATGTCTGAGTTCTTCACATGCATTGTAACCAGTCACTCACTCCTTGTTTCCTCATCTGGAAGAGCAGTGACTTAGGGAAGGGGGTGTTGGGGCATTGTCAAAGACACATGCAAAGTCAATGCAACGCTACGATATTTGTTCTTATAATCGCCTGCAAAGTTGAGCAAATAGTTTATAAGCACTACAGGAATACTAAGTGGAGAAAGAGAGAGAATATTAAAATAATCAGTCACATCTAGGATACACATGGAGAAGCGGAAAATTAAGAGACCTTTCCACAGTGACAATCCAGTTTACAAGGGGAAGAAAACAACCTCAAATTTATTACATTTCTGACAATGAAACTATGAAATACCAAAGGAAGCCCCTCTGGGTTTTCAAGCCAAGCAGGGACAGGATTTTAAGTGTATCAGCTCAATTCCAAAACCTAGAGATCTGTGCCCACTCTTAAGGCTTCCCTGTAGGTGCAGCCCCAGTGCAACACTCCAGATTAGCAGCCTGGGGCCAGACACATCTCCGCACATAGGAGCTCCCCTGTGTCACCTCTAACCCAATCCCTGTAACAGGGCCAACCGGTTCTACCTCCTTAGGGCCTTAGGTAGCTAAAGGGACACATCCATCTTACTATTTCTGTGCTCCTTCAGAAACATTAACATTTTCTTATTGTTTTTTTGTTAAAGTATATTTTCAGAAAGTTCCTCATGCATCCTCCATGACCTGAAATTTAAAAGGACCAGGATTGTTTAATTTCTTTTGGCTCAAATACAGTAAGGTCAAGCAACAAGACCTATTTGTTCTCAGCTGTTGTCTGATGACTTTGGATCACAGCCTACCTCTTTACTTTCAATAACATGAGACCCTGGAGCAGCAGCTGGCTGGTTGACCAGGCTACTTCCCGACTTAGATGGCAACGTTGAAGAGTAGGAACATGGCATTGCCATCCGCACACACAGCACTGACAAGACTTTACGAGTGCTGCCAGTTCTGCTGCTCCCACAAAGTAAAAATGGACAAGGTTTCAGGAAAAGAGATACAAGAATGGTTGGATATTAGAAAAACCTAACTTCTTTACAACAAAAGACCAGCAAAGTTCAGCACAAATAACTTAGCCAACAGCCAAAAGGTGACCCACTCATGTCCTTTAGCACTTACTTACATGAAGACAGATTTTCCAGTACCTACTGACTGTTTCATCTAGCAGAATCCTCCGCAACAGAAAAATAAGGCGTTTCTAGCAGGGAGAGTAATTGACCATTGGAATGAGAAACTCTGTCTCTCAAAGTTAAAGCAAGCTTAGGATTTTTTTCTTTTTCCTCAGAAATTGTGAAGAAAGCCCTCCTGCGTCCCAGATGTAACACATTCGATTCAGAAAACACCACAACACAGGTTTATACAGTCTGCATGATATGTACAGCACTGAGGAATAGTCACAGTGCTTTATCTTAAATATAGGCATTTTCCTTATTTTTTTAAAAAAAAAGCACAGGAAGAATAAATGCTTTGATAAACTGTTGTTTAGTTGCAGAGTTGGAGGACAGGGCAGCTGAGTGTCTGCAAGTTGGAAAAGCCTATTTACCTACTCTCTGATCTTGACCTTAGCTCAAAAGGGCAAGTGAAACCAAATGTTAAGGAAGGAGTTACTGTAAATCTTTCCCGGGATGACAAGACTGAAGTTATTACAAAATGGTTCAGAGCCTGACTAGGCAGAAGCCTAAGGTTTCAAGCCAAATTTCCTCCATCCCAGGGGTAGGCGGGTTAAATGGGTCTGGGGGCACATTTCCCCGTGCAGCACCAGGAGGACAGGGTGGCCGGGAGCAGAGGCAGCGCCACAGCACTCACAGTACACTCCAGCCTAAGAGGCAGCACAGCTGTTTGTATCACAGCACAGCATCCTCTGCGAAAGAGGAAAACCCAATGAAACCCAGCCAGCACCGTAGCCATCAGGCACTACTTGTCTCAGCTCATGGTGCTGGCATTTTATCAGTCTATTGCCGCTTGTTTTCATTAAATGAGAAGGAAAAGGTGAAAAGAGCACCCTGCCTCTCACAGCCATACGTGATTTGTCATTGCTAATTTTCTATTATGAGCTGTAGAAAGTGAAGCCAGTCTCTTTCCATTAATCCTGACGGGAAACACTTCTTCTTTGTCTTCCCATCAAGTGCCCCAAATTCTTTGACTGAACACATGCTACAGCTGCACCAAACCCCCAACTCTCCTTGAAACTTCTCCCTGGCATCATGGGCAGAAGGCAGCGACACACAGCAGCTCTGCCAGCACAGTAATACTCCCTGGTTAGGACATGGGAACAGTCAGGCATCACCAGCTTTATTTCCTTCTTTTTACTGTGTGTGTTTTTTATTATCCCAAATTGGAAATGTAATATTGATTGTGTCTGCTTAAATGTCAATGCTTAATAATCCTATTGAAAAAAAGGAAGAACTTCTGTAGTGAGGGAAAAAAAAAAAAAAAGCAGCAGCAATGTCTCCTGAAAGATAAATAAATCACTGGGCCTGGTTAACATCTCCTCTTCTGCAGTTCTTGGGCTTCAGAAAGTTCTTACCAAAAGATATATTGAGGCCAGGGGGGCATCCACTTAGGGATTTCTTTGTTCACTTTCCCTATAAATTTGTAACAGAGCCTGTTTATCTTTCACAAAAGATATTGTTAAATTTTGCCTCTAAAACCGTTAATGGTTACTGGGCCATTTATAATGGAAGGTAATATTTAGCTCTAGGATTTGAATCAATAGAAAAAAATAATCCCAAGTTCTGTGTATGGAGAGTCCTCTACAGCGACCTAAGCAAGGTCAGCTGATGTCTCATGTTTAGGAGCTCCCAGGGTGCTTGTCCTTCCCTTCAGTTAATCTACCCCTGGGTAAAGGCTCAGGCAGACACGTGCTCCACATGCATCCCTTTAACACCTGCAACATATGGCTCATGTGTGTCCTAAACAGTGCACAGGTTTGAAAGAGAGGAGCAAAATTCATACTGGAATTCAAAGATTTCCCCTGCGCCCACAAGTCATCTTTTCATTTCAGCTCTCCTCTCTGATCTCTCTGCACAGCATCCTGTCTCTGCCACAGACTGGCACCTCAGCTCTGAGACACGGGTGGTTGTGGCAGTC